TTTTGTTTTTACTTTTTGGGTTGAACCGGGCTTGAATACAAGCCCTGCGATACTTCGCCGACCTTCATGGGAAGGCATGGCATATTGATAGCTGCGGTCCAAGAGACGAAGTTGCACAGTAATTCAACACTGTTGAATTCTGCCGGGTACAACGTGCACCGTCGAGATCGCGAGCGGGATAGTGGTGGAGGCTTAGCGTTCATTACGCACCACACCGTGCACTATCGTCTTATCGAAGCAGACATCGACCGCAGAGATACCACCCTAGAATGTCAGGGCATTGCTATCCGGTCAGGCGATGTTGAGCTCGAAATATTTAACGTTTATATACCCCCTGTCAGAGGTGAAACCCGTATGGTAGTAGGCGATACGCATGCGATATTATATCGCAACGGTGTCGCTGTCGTGCAAGTGGGCACAGTTTTCATCGCTTCTTACCAATTCCCACGTACTCATATCGTATCGCTCTAATGTGCACCGTGCCTAAGAATTTCGAGTAGAGGATTGTATGTACACCAGAGTTCGGCAGTTAATAGTTCAGCTTATGAATATGCTCGTGTCCGTCCGTCCGTGTACACGATAATGCCCGAACTTAGGCTTTCTTACTTGTTTTTGATACAAAGGATATGATCATTCTTTGTCGCTTTATTCTGTATTCGAAAAATTATGTTTCAATGGAATTGAATTCAATGTTAAATATTTTAATAAATCATTTAGATTTAGATAGCGATTTTAGCAATTTATTTAAGAAAAATAAAACATTTCAATTTTTGTTTTGATCTTCGTTGATTTTAAATTTGCTATCTCAAAATAATTTATATCAAATAATACACCTCTTTGAGGTAAAATTTTCGAGTGACGTAAGCTGAACTAGAAACACAAAATTTATGATATCAATTTCGTGACGAAAATTATACGAATGTTAAATTAAATTAAATTAAACTACGAGACAATCAAGCGAAAACAGGTGTTCATTGTATTTGAAATTTTTCATATTTTTTTTAATTTTCAATTTTTTTGGATAAGTACGAAGGATATGATCATTCTTTTTCGCTTTATTCTGCATTTGAAAAATTATATGTTTAAATGGACACATCGTTTTGAATACATCATTTATTTGAGAAAAATAAAACATTTAGACTATTATTTGTATTTTCGTCGATTTTAAATTCGCTACCCCAAAATAATTGATATCAAATAAAGCACCACTGTGAGGTAAAATTTTCGAGTGTCGAAAGCTGAACTAGAAACACAAAATTTATGATATGAATTTCGTGACGAAAATTATACGCATTTTTTAACTGCCTTGGAAACGTCCGGAAAATCTTTTTTATTTATTCGGAACGTTGCAAAATTCCGTCTACTGCTAGAAACACAAAATAAAAAACAGAACTTTTGCGACGATTCCTATGAATAAAAAGGATTTTCCGCTTCTTTAGCGGTAGATATTCTGTCTAACGCTATTAAACGCCTAAGTTTTGGCCCTTCTACCTCGGATATTTTAGGCTTATTTCCACCGTTTTCTTTGCAATCTGCATGTTAGTAGTGCTTCTGATAATGCGGCTAGCAGTCGATT